GGTGTAGGGTTGAGGGTGCAAGGGGTCTACGACTACGACTGCACATTCACCCCGCTTACATCTCCCTCGGGGTGTAAGGTTCAGGGTGGAGTCTGCTCCCAGAAGTTTTGCGCAGAACCCTAAACCCTAAACCCTAACTGGCAGGTTTGATGTCCGGCTGACTGACACCCTAAGCCTTGTTAGGGTTTAGGGTTTAGGGTTTAGGGCGGTTTAGGGCTTAGGGCTTAGGGCGTAGGGCTCAGTGTTCAGGACCTTTGAACAAGTACTGCAGAGCAATCTTTGGATCGGATGTCGATCGGATAGCCGAATGAATCCCTTTGCATTTGCTACTCGTTTTGACGAAAGAAACCAGGCATACACCAGCCTGGGGTGAACTCTCATGTGCCAGCAGTTAAGGTTTTTGGGGTTCAAGGTTTAGGGTTTGTGAATTTCGGGCAAGCACAACTCTGTAACAGAAGCAGGGGTGGCATGCAGCCAGCCCAGCTGTAGCACCGGTTCGTCTCTAGCTGCTTGGGCTTTGCTCGGGTCGGTAGCGCGATTTCTGCGAACCTACAAACGAAGCTGCAATCAAGTGTAGCCAATGTAGGGATGCACTCGTACGACTGCTTGAAAAGCAAGACTTCTCGATGAATCATGGGACCCTGTACGACCTGAACTACCCCATTCCCGAAACCAGGCCCTAATATCCCCTTCATTGAGCCGCATTAGTTGGACTCTTTTTCAAAAGGGGGTTTGTTTAGGGTGGGAACCGTACAGGATACCATCGTAACTCCAGCAAACCCCCCTAAGCCCTAAGCCCTAAACCCTAAACCCTAAACCCTAAACCCTAAACCCTAAACCCTAAGCCCTAAGCCCTAAGCCCTAAGCCCTAAGCCCTAAGCCCTAAGCCCTAAGCCCTAAGCCCTAAGCCCTAAGCTCTACACAGCCCCTTCACACATTGGGGCTTGCTGGGCCCCGCGCAGGCGCAAATCTCCAGCGCGGAGAATGTCTTGCAGGAGTTCCGCTTCGTAAGGGTTTAGGGTTTAGGGTTTAGGGTTTAGGGTTTCGGGTTTAGGGTTTACGGTTTAGGGTTTAGGGTTTAGTTAGTTTCAAGAGGGGTCACCTTGCAGAGCCGCGGGAGTTTCGGGTTTTTAGAGGTCTCGGGTTTCAAGCTACCCTGAGGTTCCATGTGCCGAATAGTGTACACTTGGGCGTTAAAGTATGTCCGAAGTGTCATGGCTTTGAAACTTTGGTTCCTCAGTAGACAGTCTGTTGGTACATGAGCAAGCGGTAGGGGTTAAAGGTTTTTGTTTTCAAGACTACTCAGCTTGCAACAGCCAACTTAAGGTACTTGTGCCCCTACTTAAAAAACCCCAAGACTCTAAAACCCGAACTCCTACCTATTCCCCACTTGCCAAGTTGCCTGAGCCCACAGAAGAACCCGCACATACCTTCAAAAGCCCCTAAGACCCGACCGCCGGATCCGACGTCCCCAAGCCCTCCAAGCCTCAACCCACCAAGTCCCTGAAGCCCTAAACCCTAAACCCTAAACCCTAAACCCTAAACCCTAAACCCTAAACCCTAAACCCTAAACCCTAAACCCTAAACCCTGGCTCGAAGACCGCGCGAAGGATTTCAGTCCGCAGCGCGACAACGTCCGTGAGCCGATGCAGGCGAGGGTTTCGGGTTTAGGGTTTATAAGGGTTCAGGGAGTTTATAAAAGGTTGTCAGAGGGTTTATGAGCGCATGGACCTTGTGTCAGAGTTGGCAAACAGGGGTTGTTACCTCACGGCACAGGGGGCGTACAGTACTACGGAAGTTTTTGAACGAGGGCTTTGGGGTGGCGGGGTTTAATGTGCTTCAGGCTACTTATCTTGAACCCCCCCAAACTGAGGGAACTTCAATCTAGCCCTACGAAATGCCCATCCGAACTTTCACTGGGTGTCCGTGACGTGAAGTACCCTATTAAGGGGCTCAGGGTATGCACGACCCTTTGCAAACACACCTCACGCCCAAGTCCAGAAGACATCTGAGTTCAAGGCCGCCTCCTCTAAGTCGCCCTAAGCCCTTAAATCTGAATCCCCCCGAGTCCCGAATCCTAGACCCTCGACCCTCTAACGCCCCACACCCTGAGCGCTACAACCCTAAATCCAAAACCCTAAACTAGACCCCAGACCCCAAACCCTACGTAGCCCTAAACCCTAAACCCTAAAACCCTAAACCCTAAACCCTAATCCCACACGCTGGCCGCCAGGTTCTGAGGCGGTCTTTAGGCTGGGTGAAGGCTCCTGCGCCTCGGCGGAAGAGGAGGAATTTTCGGAGGGTTTTAGGGCTTACTGTAGGGTTTAGGGTTTAGGGTTTCGGGTTTAAGCTCATACGGATTCAGGGCTTAGGGCTTCGGGTTTAAGGTTAGGGTGCTCGCTCGTGTGCATAATGCCCCGCTCCACACGCGTCTCAGACACAAAGAGCACCCTTATGGACTTAGGGTCTAGGGTCCCTCAACTAAACCCTAAACCCTAAAAAACCCTAAGCCTCCAAAGTGAGTGCGAATTCCGAGGTGACTCACTTGGTTTCCCGTTCAGTGTCTCCGGAGGCCGTGCTGGGTCCCAAACTGTGTTTAGGGTTCAGGGTTGGGGTTTAGGGTTTAGGGTCTTAGGGTGTAGGGTTTAGGGTTAGGGAGTACTCTACACACTACGAGCCCAAACACCAGAATATACACCCATGTCTTCGGATCAGAACACTCGCTACTACCCGAAACCCCTAAACCCCTAAACCCCTAAACCCCTAAACCCTCAACCCCTAACCCCTAACCCCTAAACCCTAAACCCTAAACCCTAAACCCTAAACCCTAAACCCTAAATCCTGGCTTGGGCTTGAGCAAACCCACAAGAGGCCGGTACAGACCACTGCCAGGATGCATGTAATCAGGGCGCATATGTGTGTTGAGGGTTGGGGGTTTAGGGTTTAGGGTTTAGGGTTTAGGGTTTAGGGTTTGGTAAGTCTACTCATGGGATATTTATTTTGGTGGATACGAGCAATAAACACCCTACTTCCTGTAAACATACTTTCGGGCTGTTATCACAGGCAGGTTGGGTGATGTTTTTGGCGGGATATCACTTCTAGACAAAAAGTGTACCAGTCATCAAAATAAGTGGGTAGCTTCGGGAGGATGTTGGGCGTCCAAAAACCATTGTAGCGGGTAGCCGGTTATCCCCGGAATTCTACGATGTTGTGATAGCATGTTGGGGGTCGCTGGCCCGAGTGACCTTGAGAGAACTTTCTTGCAAACTGGCCCCAATTGATAGTTTCATTAGACTGGGATGCCCGGTAGTACGCTTCTTCCCCTTGTTGCGGCGTTCGGCTTCCGGAGTTTAGGGTTTGTGTTCTTTAGGATTTTGGGTTTTTAGGGTTTTTGGATTTCGCCGCAAAACCTCCTCCCCACATAATCCCTGCTCTTGGGCGCCTGACATTTTGCTTCTACGGTGGACTGAGGAAAAAAGCCTTAAATCCTATTTTAGACCGTGAAACTCCCTAAATCCTAAACCCTAAACCCTAAACCCTAAACCCTAAACCCTGAACCCTGAACCCTGAACTCCCTAAACCCTTAACCCTACAGGTGTCCAAAAAAGGAGCCAGAATTGGGGGCGGGGGTTCAAGGTACATCTTCCGCCCACGCCACGCAGAAGGGTTTAGGGTTTAGGGTTTAGGGTTTAGGGTTTAGGGTTTAGGGTTTAGGGTTTAGGGTTTAGGGAACACAAAAAAACACAGTAGTGATGCCAGCTCATCCGAAACCCTGAGCCCTAAACCCGTCTACCCTAGAACCCCCTAAGCCCTAAACCCTAGGCCCTATACCCAAAACCCTAAACCCTAAAGCCTAAACCCTAAGCCCTAAACCCTAAACCCTATAAACCCTATAAACCCTATAAACCCTATAAACCCTATAAACCCTGTAAACCCTGTAAACCCTATAAACCCTATAAACCCTATAAACCCTATAAACCCTATAAACCCTAAAAACCCTAAACCCTAAAAAAACCCTAAACCCTAAACCCTGAACCCAAAACCCTAAACCCCAAACCCTAAACCCAAGCCTTAAACCCTATGGTTATACCACTGTGAGGGATCCCAGTACCCCCTTTCACGAAGGAGTCTGCTGGAACCAGATCTCACTAGGGTTTAGGGTTTAGGGGTTTAGGGTGGGTCCACTTTGGAAAATAAGGAATCAGCTACCATTAACCTCCTACATACTGAGACTCCCCTAATTCCTCAGAGACAGGTAGACTCAGCGATCCTGACTATGCTGGCACCCTGAAGCCCGCGAAAGCTACAAACTAGGGTTTAGGGTTTAGGGTTTAGAGTTTAGGGTTTAGGCTTTGCCCGTAAACCCTATACCCTGGAGGCCCGCCACAAGCTCTCTAAGCACAACAAGCCACCGAAGGCCTATAAGCCCTTCCTTCAAACCTATGAACCCTAAACCTGAAACCCTACACCCTCAACTTTCAACCCTAAGCCTAAACCCTAAATCCTCAATCCAAAACCCTAAAACCCAATTCCTGAATAAATGGGCGTTGGGCGCTGCAGGCCATCTGGCTCAGAAGTTTAGTGTTTTGGGGTTTAGGGTTTGGGGTTTAGGGTTTAGGGTTTGGGGCTTAGGGTCAGGAAATGTTCTAAGCCATTGTCGCCCCTTCACGACAACCAATACTGCTTTTGCAAGCCATCCAACTCTGGACACCAGCGAACATAGGCGACAGCCGAGATCTACCAACCTGCAATTATACCCTTCAAAAAAAGGGGACATGTATCAACTCCTTCGGGTGTAACGTTACCCCTTTTTAAGAACAGGGTCTACGGCATACGGATGCTCTACAGGCACTCCAACGTGCGAGCGTTAAGCGCGTAGCGACTCCAGGCTCATGAATGTATCTTCGGGGTACTTGGAAATATGTTTTTTTTGGGTACTATAATTCCCAAGAAACAGCAAAAATTAGATTCTTTGCTGGGGTTCCAAGTTCAGTATAGGTATGCGCTGGCACTTGAGGAGATTTGGCCTCCTCGGCGCCTGTCTGTTGGTTCTCCTGGCCTTCTTGGGCGCGAATGCGGCTTTGCAACAAGTCTCGCGCCCCTCCACCGCCCTGTCCGTGCTCATTCCCTTCGTGCCCAAAGAGGACCGACGAGACACAGGCCAGGCGGAACCAGCTGCAGCCGAGGTTCTTGCAGGCAGCGGTGCCACTGACACCGAGGCTTGTACCGCATTTTGGGAAGTCGTTTCCAGTTTCTGCGTGCTTCTGTTGTTCTATGTGGCTTGCGTTTACTAAACCCTAAACCCTCAACCCTAAACCATGATTTCTGGACCTTCATGAGCAGCTGAGGAGAACGCTAGCATTCACGCGGCCTCCGGGGCGTTAGCGCGCAGTCCTGTTCCTTGGCTCTAGGAAACCTTTCGAAAGCTCTTTGGTTATTTTGGGTGTCGGGCCTATGGGTACAAGGACACCCTACCGAATGACCCTTTTGATCTTCGAGTTTTCCTAGGGTTTAGGGTGTTAGGGTTTTTGGAATTAGGGCTTTTCAGGGTTTAGGGTTTCGGGTTTGTAAGCCTCAACCGTAAACCTCAAACCCGCAACCCTAAGCCCATGGGGTTTTCGGGTTTTAGGCTTCTCCCGCACACCCTCATCCCCTCGAACACGGAACACGAAGGTCCTCTTTCCGCCCAACGAGCCTGCGTTTAACGACTACACCCCGGTCTACGTAGGAGAAGAGCTGCTCACCAGGAAAGACTTCCCGGCGACTCGGTGGTTCGGTTGTGGGGTTTAGGGTTTAGGGTTTAGGGTTTAGGGTTTAGGGTTTAGGGTTTAGGGTTTAGGGTTTAGGGTTTAGGGTTTTTTGTTTTTGCTGTGGGCTTCGCGGTTTAGTGCCGTGTTTAGGTGGGCTGGGCGTATTTCCTAAAGCCGAAACCCTGTACCCTAAATCCTAAACCCTAAACCCTAAACCCTATAACCCTATAAAATCCTAAGCCCTAAACTTGTAAGCGCTGGGTGCCAGAGGTGAAGTTCTTGAAGGAGTTTGCCGGGCAGTGGACGGTGGACGATCCGGCGCTGGCCATCTTCCACATCGTGTCTTGGTAGGGTTTAGGGTTTAGGGTTTAGGGTTTAGGGTTTAGGGTTTAGGGTTTAGGGTTCCCTTAGAAACTAACCAACCAAAAAAAGGGTGCCCTTATCATGAGATGGTTGCTGGGCTGCCAAGGTGTGTTGTGGTCCCCTTGACCGCCTGCTTCAACTTCCACCAAGGACGCCTGAGCGCCCGTGCTCCAGTGCACATTGAACACTTGGAGGTTCATGGGCACTTATAACCCCAGTTATAAGTCTACTTATAACGTACTTAGGGGACTTAGGGGGCCTATAAGTACAGTTATAAGTAGGGTTTTAAGTACCATGAACCTCCAAGCAAGCCCTTTCTCTATGTGCGAGATTCCGACCCTGAAGCCCTAAACCTTGGGATCTTCCCCCTGATACTAACAGTCCTTAATGGCGGTTCTAGTACCACCTATTGTAATCCAGATCAAGGACTGTTTGTACAAGGGGGAACATCCCAACCCTAAAGCCCTAAAACCCCTAGGCCTTGATCCCCAAACCAGTATGGACAGCGGTGACACAGGTACTTGTGCTATGACTGCGATGCCGCGATCGGGCTTGATAGGCCGCAACACGCGCGAAATTGGACTCGGAACCCTACCCCTTAGCCCTTTTAGGGTCCATGTACCTAAATAGGGCCTCAAGGTACTTCCTATAGAGGGACTGTGGGGCTCAAATATATAGCCATAAGATGCATGGACGCTTAGGGTTAGCCCCAGGACCCTAGATTTTGCCCAGCCCCTTAGCCATACACCCTGAAAACTAAACCCTACTGAATACTAAGAAGCCCCGCAACTCCACAAAAACGCCAGCCTTCTCTTCTGATGCCCCTTCCAGAACTTTAAGTGCATGCCACGCGGTCGAAGATGCCCATGAACCCAAACATGGCCCTAAACCCTAAACCCTAAACCCTAAACCCTAAACCCTCCCGAACCTCTTAAGAGTCTGTGGACTGAGGGGCTTCCCGAGACTTTCTATAAAGAGTTTCGGGGTTTCAACATTTGGGGTTCAATGGTTCTTCTGAATAGCTTTGGTGAGTTTAGGGCTTAGGGTTTAGGGTTTAGGGGGTTAGGGTTTAGGGTTTAGGGCAAATATGGGATGTCCTTTTGAAGGGGCTGGTACTGAAGCACCATGCCGAAGATGGGCATTTCGTGATCTCCCCCCAGAACGCCCACCAAGTTCAAGGATACCCCTAGTTCGCTGGAACCACCATATAGAGACTAAGCTAAATTTGCAAGCTCTCCGGATCCTTGTCGTAGTTAAGTAGTTAAAATCTTGTAGGTTAGGGCACTACACAAGGACCATTCTCATCATCAAGTGCCCGGGTTTCGGGTTTGGGAACCTAATGCCTACAATGCCTACCGGCCTTAGATGCCTCACCGGCTCGTTTTGGGTAACTCCCCACCCCCCCTAGACCCTAAACCTGAAAGCCTGAAACCTGAACCCGAAACCCCAAACCCGAAACCCTAACCCCAAACCCCAAACCCTAAACCCCAAACCCTAAACCCCAAACCCCAAGCCCTAAACCCCAAACCCCAAACCCTAAACCCTAAACCCTAAACCCCTAGACCCCTTCTCTGTGCAGTTTATCGGTCCCGAAGAGTCGGGCATGCACAAACAGTTGCCTGGACATTTGGGCGCTGCTGAGGCGACGCGACCCTTGGCTTAGGGTTTAGGGTTTGGGGTTTAGGGTTTAGGGTTTAGGGTTTAGGTGTTAGAGTTTAGGGTTTGGGGCTTAGGGAATTTAGGTTTTGGGGTTCAATGATTTGGGGTTTAGGGGTTTGCGGGTTCACGGGATTAGGGCTTTGGGCTTTGGGCTTTTGGTCAGAGTTTTGCGGTTTGGGTTCAGGGTTTAGAGGGTTTGGAGTTTTAGGGTTTTAGGGTTTTAGGGGTTCAGGACCAGTGCTTTTATCGAGGGCAGGGTTGCAGAGGGCCTTTGGAGGGGCAACAAAGGTAGAACCCTAAGCCCTTCATACTGAACATTTACTTGGGAACACGCCCAACCCTAAACCCTATAAAGCCTAAACCCTAAAAAACCTATAAACTATATACCCTAAACCCTAAACCCTAAACCCTAAACCCTAAACCCTAAACCCTAAACCCTTGGTTTTTTTTGTGATGTGTTCCTGTTGGATCTTCAGTCTTCGGGCTATTTGGGTCCTGGGCTCGTCTGCGCAGCCGAGGACTTCATGTTCTCTTCCTCAGACCTCCGGTTCCTCGGAGACTTGTGGTTGAAGTAGGGTTTAGGGTTTGGGGTTTAGGGTTTAGGGTTTGGGGTTTAGGGTTTGGGGTTTAGGGTTTGGGGTTTAGGGTTTAGGGTTTAGGGTTAGGGTTTGGGGTTTGGGGTTTTAGGGCCAGGTTTAGGGTTTCGGTTCCTTGGAGATTTGCGGTTTAGGGCTGAGGGCTTGAGGTTCAAGTAGGGTTTTAGAGTTTAGGGCTCCGGGCTTTATAGGGCTTAGGGTTTAGGGTTTTAGGGATTAGGGTTCAGGGTTTCGGTTCCTTGGAGATTTGCGGTTTAGGGCTGAGGGCTTGAGGTTCAAGTAGGGTTTTAGAGTTTAGGGCTCCGGGCTTTATAGGGCTTAGGGTTTAGGGTTTTAGGGATTAGGGTTCAGGGTTTGTTGGGTTTGGTGGGTTGGGCTGGGTGTAGGGAGATGAGGTTTAGGGTTTGGATTGAGCCAGCTTTGTGTTTTGGGTAAGGCTTGCCGTGAAGGGCTTCGCGCTTACTCCCGAGCGAGCGCTCTTTCAACGGTTTTTTTCATAGGAAATTTTGGATTTTGGAAGAACTCCCCCTGGATGTAGGGGTTTCCAACAATCAAATTGCCCCTTTCTTGCGAAACTTGTTGAGGGGATTCTATGCCCAAAAAGGCCTGGGGACAATCTCTCATGCTGTACTTCATTGAGGTTCTGGGACATCACCAATGACTCGGCTCTCCTCCTACCAGGCGTTACGCACCTGCACCACTTTCCGAAACCCGAGTTGTTGGACAAATATCGGGTACGACCCTCCGACCCTCCGAAGTGGCTGGGTTCTGCTTTGGGACTTTTACCTCTTTTTCCTACTTTCTGTACCAGGGAACCTATTCAGCAACTCAACCCGCAACCCTAAACCCTAAGCCCTAAGCCCTAAACCCTAAGCCCTAAACCCTAAACCCTAAACCCTAAATCCTAAACCCTAAACCCTAAACCCTAAACCTTGCAAGCTCAGGTATTTTCTGACCTTTCAGGGGCTCTGGAACGTTGGGCAGCGTGGAACTTCCTTTGTCCGACTCAACATGGCCGTGACTTGCTGTGGGTTAGTAAGGGTTTAGGGTTTAGGGTTTAGGGTTTAGGGTTTAGGGTTTAGAGTTTAGGGTTTAGGGTTTAGGGTTTAGGGTTTAGGGTTTAGGTACCCAACAGAATCCCTTAAAGGGGTATATGTAGGGGGATATAGGGTACCTGATTCCCTCATGCCCTACTAACCAACAGCAAGGTGATGTTGAACAGCACCAAGAGGCTGCCCAAGGCAATGAAGACGGCGTCGGGTGACCCGCTTCCACTGCCCACGGAGAACTACACGCCGGCATCGGACGTGTTCATTTCTATTTCTGGCGAGGAGCACAACTACAAGGACTCCTGCCCTAAGTCCTCAACCCTGAGCCCCAAACCCTAAACCCTAAACCCTAAACCCTAAGCCCTAAACCGGGCTGGAGCCAACTTCAGCCCTTATCAACATGGCCTTCAAGAAGCTCAAACCTTAAGCCCTAAACCCTAAACCCCAAGCCCCTACCCTGAACCCCAAGAAGGCACACATGGCAACACCCAGAAGCCAACATAAACATGTGGATCCTACTGTTGGGGTATAAGGGGCTCCTGTAATTATAATGGGGATTCTGGAAACCCTCTTTGTAGAATCTTTATGTTTACGTGTTTTTTTGGCCCCAGACCGCTTCCATAGCCTTTGCCCTTTGAGGTTTAGAGCTTAGGGTTTAGGGTTTAGGGTTTAGGACTCAGGGTTTAGGGTTCAGGGTTGAGGGTTGAACGTTTAGGTTTGGACTGCTTTTCCTGTAAACCTGAACCCCAACGACATGGAGGAGAGACAGCCCTCCTCCTAAACGTCCTAAACCCCTTAGCCTAAATGGTCCTAACCCTAAACCCTGAACTTAACCCTGAACCCTGAACCCTAAACCCTAAACCCTAAAGGTTCTCAAAGTGATGGTCACTTGTTGATAACGAAGTGCCAGGGCCGCCTTGTAATAGGAACCCCAAAATGCACACCATGATTTTCGAGCAGTGACCAATGAAGTTTGAGGGGAAGAAACCCTAAACCCTAAACCCTAAACCCTAAACCCTAAACCCTAAACCCTAAACCCTAGCTGAAACTTGAGGAGAGGAAACCCTACTACTCTTTGTTCGACTCCTCCTACAGCCTGGTGCTGCACGGCCACGGCCGCTGGAGCTATCGCCTGGCCGAGGTGCTGAGCGGAGGAGCGATGTGGGAGGTTTCGGGATTAGGGTTTTGGGGTTTTAGGGGTCTTGGGGTTTTAGGGTCTTATGGGGTTTAGGGCGTTAAGGGGTTTAGGGGTTTAGGGGTTTAGGGTTTCGGGATTAGGGTCTTGGGGTTCTTGGGGTTTCTCGGGCCTTAGGTTGTTTAGGGTTTATGGGGTTTTCAACACTCTTACCTGTCTAGGGTTTTAGGGTTTTAGGGGTTTAGGGTCTAGGGGTTTAGGGTTTAGGGTTTCGGGATTCGGGGTTCGGGTCTAGGGTTTTTGTGGTTGAGGGTGCATGGGGTTTAGGGTTTGAGGGTTTAAGGTGCTCGGTAGCCCGGTGGTGCCCTTCGGCCCTTTTGGAGTTCCAGGTTCCGTTGAAAAAAGTAAACAAATAAAACCCAAAAGCCTTCATTGCAGTATGGATCCTGGGCTACAAAGTCTGGGAGGTTCCGGGACGGGCGGCGAAGGAGGGGTGTCGGGTTTGGGGATGAAGGGTTTAGGGGTGTAACCCTTAGCCCTCAATGCGGCTTACAGGTTTACAGCTTTCAGAGGTTTGGGGGCTTTGCTTTGTTTGCATCGGTCTTGGCTCCCGAGCGGGGTTCCCACGAGAATGTGTTGCCTTCTTGGGACCCTGAACCCTAAACCCCAAACCGTTGGCCCAAACCCTAATCCCTAAAACCTAATCCCTAAACCCTAAACCCTAAACCCTAAACCCTAAACCCTAAACCCTAAACCCATTCTTGAGTTGCGTTCCGGCTTATCTATCGGCCTCTGGAGTTTGTGGTTTATCTCCGGAAACCACAGAGTGCATAGGCCTTAAGGGATTCAAGGAGGGGTTTAGGGTTGGTAAGGTGTTAATGGGGATAAAGGGGTTAATAGGGTTAACAGGGTGTAGGGTTTAGGGCGACATGCCTCGGCCTCCGTGAAAGGATCCATCCCCGTCGTCATGGCCGAAGGGTGGAACCTTCCGTATTCAGAGGCCAAAGGGGGGGGGGGGGGGCTGTTCAGAGGGTTTAGGGTTGAGGGTTTGGGGTAAAGGGTTTAGGGTTCAGAGCCCCTCCCGAAACACAAAGCCCAGAAAGCCTCTTCTTAAGCTAGATGCCCAATGGCACAGGCATTCCCTATTCTGGGCTCGGTTGCCGTGATCGACCACCCATTCTTAGATTACTGGGGAACGCACACAAGGCCGAAACCCCCAAGTCCTAACCCAAAACCTAAACCCTACTACCAAAACAGACAATTCCCTCCTCCCTCTCCCAGCATTTCAAGCCCTGAAGTACCCTGAACCCTAAACCCTAAAGCCTAAAAACCCTAACCCTAAAGCCCTAAGACCTAAACCCTGTTTGCATGTTGGACCCTAGGTCCCTGGCCCCTTAACCCTTCGGACGTGAGACCTCAAGGCTTAAGTGGTTCAGGCTTTCAGGGTATTAGGGTTTGAGGGTTTCAGGGTATTAGTAGGGTGTTAGGGTTTGGGGTTTAGGGTTTCGGGTTTTAAGGTTTAGGGTGTTCAGGGGCTTTCGGGTTTTGAGGTTTAAGGCTTTAGGGTCGAGGGGTGTCGTCAGGCCTCCACCTCCCCCAAGGTACTTCATTCAGGGTTTAGCGTTTAGGGTTTAGGGTTTAGGGCACACGCTGGGGTTCTACATCGGGTCCGCGTGCGTGATGGAATGCCTGAGTGAAGGCACGTGTGGTCACTGACGGCTGGCTGCCGTACGTCGACCTCCACATACGACCCGCTCACGCGTCAGAACGGACTCCTGCAGCGTTCTCTCCCATGCTGAGGCGCTGATCTTTTGGCACGGAGGAGCGCAGCTGCATGACGCTCACACACTCAAGGGTGGTCTCCACAACACCCCACAGGATCATGACTGATGTCTTTGCCGGCCGATGCCATGTGCCATCAGCTGCTCTCACAGCCGAGCAGCAAGCGTTCCTCGTGACGTACCAAGCGAACAGAGCAGGGTCTCTCTAAGGCATAAGAGAACAACAAGTCTTCGGGGGTTTAGAGGGCTTCAGGCTGAGGGGGCCGAAGCTCCACACCCAAAACCCATAGACCCTCAACCCTAACCCCTGAACTGTCGAAGGACATGTTGAGGCATCGAAGATGGCCCTACAACGCCCTGAAGGTCCTAAACACCGCAAACCCCAAAAGCTGAAAAGCCCCGGAGTCAAAGCCTCTAAACCCTGTTGAAAATTCTTAACTTCCCCCTCCACCCTAAACCCCGAAACTCTAAACAACCCTAAACCCAAGAAACGGAACCCTAAACCACGTTCCCCTCGCTTCCACCGCCTGACAGGTGATCGACTGGGCGCCTCGGCCCTTGATTCTGGAAATCGTCATAAGGGACCCGCGAATACGGTGTAGGGTTTATAGGGTTTATAGGGTTTATAGGGTTTAGGGTTGAGGGTTTAGGGTTTAGGGTTTAGGGTCAGGAGTTGAGGGGCTTTGGGATTTTGTTGAAGTTTCTAGGGATTTAGGGGGATAGAAGCTTTTAGGGACTTAGGCGGTCATAGGGGTTTCTAAGGATTCTAGGGGGACAGGAGCGTTCAGGGGCTCAGGATTTTTTTTTAGGGGTTTAGGAATCTAGAATTTTGGGGTTTTCGGTGCCTCCATCGTCTGGGATGCATAGGGGCTTAGGCTTTACGACCTAAGCCTGAACCCTGCACACTATAAAGCCGCCTAAGAAAAGCCCGCGAAGAACGCCAAAACCCTGAAAGCCGGTTTGGGGTCTAGGGTTTAGGGTTTAGGGTTTAGGGTTTAGGGTTTAGGGTTTAGGGTTTAGGGTGTAGGGTTTAGGGTTTAGGGTTTCGGGTTTAGGTTAGGATTTAAGGCCCTTGGTAGCCCGGTGGCACCAATTATTTCTTCGAGGTTCTCTTGTCAAGTAGCCAACCCCAAGAAGGGCACGCTCTTTTCTCTTGTTTTTTGTACATGATCACTGTGCCATCAATAAACCCTATACCCTAAACCCTAAACCCTAAACCCCTAAACCCCTAAACCCCTAAACCCCTAAACCCCTCAACCCTAAAACCTGAACCCTAAACCCTAAACCCTAAACCCTAAACCCTAAACCCTAACCCCACCCCCAAAAAGAAAACTAAAGCCCAAAGGAACAGATCTCCGTCCGGCGCCCCGAGGCCTTCGATGTCAGGGTTCGCTTTGTCGCTTTGGGGGGTTTTCGGGATGGATTTGGATTTGGGGTTTAGGGTTTTAGGGTTTTAGGGTTTGGTCTAGGGTTTTCGGGATGGATTTGGGGTTTGGGGTTTTGGGGTTTTGGGGTTTTGGGGTTTTGGGGTTTAGGGTTTTAGGGTTTTTAGGGTTTTAGGGTTTTAGGGTTTGAGGGTTTGAGGGTTTTGAGGGTTTTGAGGGTTTTAGGGCTTTTAGGGTTTTAGGGTTCTAGGGTTCTAGGGTTTTGGGATTTGAGGATTTGAGGGTTTGAGGGTTTGAGGGTTTTAGTGTTTTAGGGTTCCGGGGAGGTGTGCGTTGGAAGGGCTTGTGGGGTTTAGAAGGCCCTAAACCCGAAACCCTAAACCTTCAACCCTCAACCCTACGGGTCCGGGGGGGCTTGTAGGGTTTGGGGACTCAGAGGGCTAATGTTGTATGCATGGGTTCCCCTACTACCCCCCTCTATACTCCCCCCCCCCCCCCCCTAGGCTCCCCCAATAAGTAAGGTTATTTAAGGATATTTAAGCTTAATTAAGGCTATTTAAGGGGGGAACCTAGGGGGGGTAGGATAGAGGGGGGTGGGGAACCCATGATTTTAAGGGCTTCAGCGGAGGAGCCCTCTACATAGAGCGGTTTATGCCCCCGGGCTTGGTGTTTTGGGGGGCTTCCTTTGGGATGTTCCTAACAGCTCGTACTGGGGATTATAGTCGGGGGTACGAGAATCCCCAAAAAAAGGACTGTTAATACAAAGGGGGGGGGGGGGGGTTCCGTCTTTTTGGGATTTGGAGGTTCCTGGCGTTTGGGACTTTTTGGAAGGGGCTCGGGATGTGGGGTTTAGGGTTTGAGGATTTAGGGTTTGAGGATTTAGGGCTCAGGGTTTAGGGTTTATAAGGGTCGGGGTTGAGGGGTTGGGGTTGAGGGGTTCGGGTTTCAGGGTTGCACGCAAGAAGGGCCCTTAGAGGGTTTGGGGTTGGGGTTGGGTTTAGGGTTTCGTGTTCAGGGCCAAGGGAACCCGAACCCTGAAGCCCTACTCGTTCCAAAGTTTTTTGGTTTAGGGTTTAGGGTTTAGCGTTTAGGGTTTAGCTTGCTTTTGTGTTCTAGTCCAGTTGCATGTAGGTGTTTCAGGCAGAATCGCCGGACTCAGACATGCCAAAAGTTTGCCTAGGCCTCGAAACCTCAAACCAAACAACCCTAAACCCTGGACCCCATATCGCTATATTCACACAAACACTAGAAATCCCTGTGCCCAAAAGCCCTGAACCCTAATAGCAAAAACCCGCAAGCCCTAGACCCTAACCCTTTTCCCCTTAACCCCTACACCTTAAACCCTAAACCCCTAACCCTAAACCCCGAACCCTAAACCCTCAACCCCTAAACCCCTAACCCTAAACCCCGAACCCTTAACCCTCGACCCCTAAACCCCTAACCCTGAACCCTCAACCCCTACGCCCCAAACCCTAAGACGACAGGCTCTCGGTGCGGATCCCAAAAGCCTGGTGGAGGGCTTGACGCGCGATCCGCAAAGGCAAGGGGGAACCCGGAACTCTAAACCTGAGGGTTTGGGGTTTAGGGTTTAGGGTTTAGGGTTTGATTAGGGTTTAGGGTTTAGGGTTTGGGGTTTGGGGTTTTGGGTTTAGGGTTGAGGGTTTGGGGTTTTGGAGTTACTCTTTCAGGGGTTTTTGCTTTTGGCAGTTCAGGGTTTGAGGGTTTCGAGGTTTAGGGTTCAGAGTCTGGGAGGTTTTGGGGGTTCAGAATTTTTTGCTAGGCACGGGTGTTTAGGGGATTGGGGTTTTGCTAAGGATTTTTCTTCCTGTTGGTTAGTAGGGAATGAGGGAATAAGGTACCCTATATAATCCCTTAAAGGGTATGTATACCTAGGGGATATGGGGTACCTCCTTCCCTCATTCCCTACTAACCAACAGTAAGAATACAGGGGTCGGAAGAATGACTCCCAGTATTCCCTGAACCCCCCAAATTCCCTCATTCCCTACTAACACAACTACAGTAAATTTCAGGGCTTCAGGGAGTTTGGAGGTTTAGGGGGTAGGGTTTAGGGTCTAGGGTTTAGGATTTAGGGTTTCGGATTTAGGGTTTAGGGTTAAGGGGAAAAGGGGTTAGGGTTTAGGGTTTAGAGTTGGGGGCTTAGGCTTTAGGGATTTGTTCGAGGGTTTTTTCTAGGAGGAGCCCGAGACCTTAAAGCCGCGTAGGGTTTAGGGTTTGGGGTTTAGGGTCTTAGGGTTTGTAGGGTTTAGTTTTTTTGGGTTTTGTAGGGTTTAGGGCTTGGGGTGCTAGGATGTTTTGCTTTAGAGGCCGGGTGTGGGTTGCGTGAGGCGGATGCTGCTTTACGAACCCGAACAAAGCAAGATAAAGCAAGGCAGCCACAGACTTGCGGGTTTAGGGCTTAGGGTTTAGGGTTTAGGGTTTAGGGCCTGCCCTGCAGAATCTCTTAAAGGGTTATAAGGCCAGCTAGATGGGTTATCCAAGTCCCTATAATTCCACGAGTTAGCCGAATCAACTCTAGTTTATAGGCCTATTGAGTTCCTAAGAAAGGGGTTGGGGGGTAGGTACTTAGGGAAGCTTAGGGAAGCTTAGCCTGAGGGTCTAGTGGGAAGTATTCGGGAACCTTGGGTTACGTACCCTCCTTGAACCCCCTTCCCTTAAGAACCCTATAGCGAGTTCCTGAAGCCAAGCTTCTCCAGGATCGCCGCCACGCGGGAGCGCGTGAAGTACGTCTTCGAGAACCACTTGAGCTCGCAGGACGCGCCCATCCAACAAGAAATCCTGAACCCCTATATTCCAAACCCGAAGCCCCGGAATCCTAACCCGACAAGCCTAAACCCCAAAATGCTAAACCTTAAGCCCCAAAAACCTGATCAAGCCCGATAACCATAAACCCTTAGGTGAACGGTTGGGCCCATACACCCTTCTGTCATCCCTGAAAACTCCCTAGCGGCCCCCTATGAATCCTAAACCCTACATCCTAAGCCGCAAATCCTAAACCCCAAATCCTAGACCCTAAATGCTAGAAACTAAAACCCCCCAAAAAGCCCTAAATCCTGTTGGGGCGCCAGGAAACCCTAAACCCTAAAACCCCTAAAACCCCTAAACCCTAAAACCCCTAAACCCTACCGTCTCATGTCACCAGCCCCTTTCGAGGCGATGAAGGTTCTGAGGCGACAGGGGTTGGGGGCCCAGGCTTTGGTGGGGGTTGGGGGGCGTTTGGTTTGGGTGGGGGGGGGGGGGGGGCTGGGGGGGGGGGGGGGGGGTGGGGGTGGGGGGGGGTGGGTGGGGGGGGTGGGGGGGGGGGGGGGGGGGGGGTGGGGGGGGGGTGGGGGGGGGGTGGGGGGGGGTGGGGTGGGTGGGGGGCCCACTTCCCCCCCCACCCCCCCCTACACCCCTCCCCCAGCAAGGCAGGAATTGTCAAGCACCCTGGTGCGTACTGTTGATGCTAAAGACAACCCGTCAAGTCTCCATTGGTTGGGCACGATACACATTGCGCTTTGCCCTTTTGGTGCAAAACACAAGGGCTTGCGATCATGCAACTGACTTAAACAAGTTTCCATTGGCTGGACACGATACACATTGCACTTTGCCCTTGCGGTGCAAAAAAAGACTTTTTTTGCACTTGCGATCATGCAACTGACTTCCTGATGCTTCTTGCCAGACAACGCACCCTGGTACGTACTGTTGATGCTAAAATCCTGCATGAGTTTTTCCACAACCCAATCCCCTGGCCGCCCCTAATTTTACAGTAACATTGATGCAGACTCCACTCTGCAGAAACCCGGCGGCGCGAGTCATGCATATCC